CTGTCTGTATCTATCTTTATTCATCTATCCATTTGTCCATCCATATCTGTCTGTCTGTCTGTCTACATCATCCATCCATCTACTGACCTACATCCATCTTCTGTCTGTCTGTCTATCCATATCTATCATCTTATCCATCCATCCACACACCTACATCTCTCTCACATCTTATCCATCCATCCATCCATCCATCCATCCATCCATCCATCCACCTGCCCACCCATCCATCCATCTACTACACCACCCCAACATTTGCCTACCTGTTCCAGATATCTCCAGCTACGTCAAGCTCAGAAGTGGCCAGTTTAAACAAGTGTCCTCCTTTGGTTTTGGTTTTCTTTTTAAGTAATACTCTCAACAGGAAAGAATTTGCCACCCAGCAGGGCTTGTGATGTTCTTTTGATGGGACTGGAAATGAAATCACAGCTCACCTAGGGTGCTACTCTGAGGTCCACTGAGTCATAGGCCGATGCTCTCATCAGCTGAAGAGGCCTCGTAAATAACATTCGCAGTTCTTCGTAGTTTGGTTTTTCTTCATATTCCAAAGTCATTACTTGTTGCAGGTATTTCTGTATGGATTCTTTAAAAAACAATCAATCAGTTAATCAAACAGATCTCCATGGACGATGATGAAAAGAGCTGGCCTCTCTAAGTAACAATTGCAGTATTTGTGTTGTCGCAACTTATGGCTTACACCAATGTTTTTTCAACATGGCAACTTTCAACTCCCAGAATTCCCCAGCCAGCAAGTTGCCAAGTTGGAAAACACTAGATTAAAAACTATTGGTTTTTCTGACCCAGCTTGGCAATGGTCTTCCTGAAGACCAAGCAACCGAGGCTTTGAGTGTGTAAGAAATCCCAAGAATCAATCTCACAACATTTTTAACCTGCCTTTCTACATAATATTCACTCAGAAGACTGGCAAAGCACAGCAATAAAAGTAAAATGGAGAATTATAGTACAATTATTCTGCTTGGTTGATCAATCCAGAAGTTTGAGGTAGTTTACAGGGAAGTCTTTCTTGATTTTATCCAAAAACAAAAAGGCTGGACTGAGATTGGATTGATTCAGTCTCTCAATAGATTTCTACAGTGGTCTTGAACCCAGGACTGTCCATATTCATGTAAATTCAAAAGGAATAGAAATCAAAGCAGATTAACTTATTCTTGGTGGATGGGCCATGGGCTCCATTAAAACCAAGTTTGTACCTGATGACAGGCATTAGAAGGAAAAAGAGACAACATCACACTGAATATTTATAGAATATTCAGGGCCTGCTGTTCTAGACAATAGGAAATGAGAACCATTTATCAGGATGTCTCCCAGATATGTAAATAGACAAAAAGGCAAATTGCAAGTCACAGAAAGTGCAGCACAAGGACACAACTTGTCTGCTGCAACGGTGGGGAATATAACCTGGGATGCCAGAACTCCTAACTGCAAATTCTGCAGCGTTTCTCAACTGGGGCAACATTTAAGATGGGCGGACTTCAGCTCCCAGAATTCCCCAGCCAGCTGCCCTGTCACAACTGGCTGTGCAGTCGTAGCTGGTTATTTCTCACTGAGAATATAGGTAGTCCTCGACTTACAACAGTTTGTTTAGTGACCATTCAAAGTTACGACGGCACTGAAAAAAGTGACTGATGGTCATTTTTCACGCTTACACCAGTCGTAGCTTTTCCATGGTCACATGATCAAGAGCCAGACACTTGGCAACTGGCATGTACTTATGACGGTTGCAGTGTCCCATGGATCATGTGATCCCATGTTGCGACCTTCTGACAAACGAAGTCAACGGGGAAGCCAATTTTGCTTAACAACTGTATTGTAAATTAACAATTGTAGTGATTCACTTAACAACGGTGGCGAGATAGGTCATAAAGAGGGGCAAAACTCACTTTAACAACTTAGCAACAAAAACTGTGCGCTCAATTGTGGTCATAAGTTGAGGACTACCTGTAATGTGGAGAGAGCTGTTGCGAGAACAACCACGAAGTAGTCAAAGCATTTAAGACACATATTGTTTCATAGTGCTTTCCAGTCCTCTCTAAACGGTTTACAGTCAGCCTATTATTCCCCCAACAATCTGGGTCCTCATTTTACCAATTTTGGAAGGATGGAAGGCTGAGTCAACCTTGAACAGTCAGGAGCAAACTGCAGGCAGTGGGCAGAATTGGCTTGCAACACTGCATTCTAACCACGGTGCACCATGGAAGGAAGGAAAGAAGGAAAGAAGGGGAAGGGAAGGGAGGGAGGGAGGAAGGGAGGGAGGGAGGAAGGAAGGAAGGAAGGAGAAAAGGAAGAGCAAGAGCAATAGCCCTTAGACTTATATACCGCTTCACAGTGCTTTACGGCCCTCTCTAAGAGGTTTACAGAGTCAGCATCTTGCACCCAACAATCAGGATCCTCATTTTACCGATCTGGGAAGGATGGAAGCCTGAGTCAATCTTGAGCAGGTGAGAATCAAACTGCCAAACTACAGGCAGACAGCTGAAGTAGCTTGCAGTACTGCCATTTTAACCACTGTACCACCAAGTAACCCTCTAAAAAGTAAACCCTAAAGTGAAAATGAGAACACGTCAATTCGCCTTTACCTGGTAAGGCTCCCCAGCCAGAGGACAGTCTTGGATTTTTGATAACATCCACTTTGCACCTACAACGGAAATGACAATCAACATGAATCTCTTAAACAGGAGGAGAAGTACAGCTGAGATGAGACTTGTGCATTGACAATACACATTGACTTGAGTTGATGGCTGTTCGCCAGCATCCTGGGGCCCTACGACTGTCCTTTATAATGGTTCCGCCCCAAAACAGTATTTACACCTGAAGGTTGGCAAAACTGTGCCTGTCAACTCGTAAATCATTCCTAAACCTGTTTCCAAGTTGCCATAAGAAGTGGGGGGGGAGGCCTGAGCAGTGCAGCAGATGAAGGCCAGAAGCACATTCCACGCTTATCTTGTGGAGATTGTATCCTAGGTTACTGGATCTTCTGCCTGCGAAAATCCTTTATTGGAAAGTGATGACACTCAGCCGTGAAGGTGTTTCATTGGAGAATCTGATTTATGACATATCCAGGGGGCTGGGGGGGAAACAGGGTCATAGGTGATAGTAAATTACGTGTCTCAGAGTTAGCTTCATATGGGTTAGTGCCAGGACATGTTGCTCCTAATAAATCTTTTGAATTCTTTTGAAGCTTGGCTCGAAGCTCATGATTTAATTAGGGCAATCGCCGGAACCCTGACAGTGCCTCTAGAGGACCACTGGTTAAATGAAGGACCATGGCGTTTGCTTTAACAATACCGATTCACTTAACCAGTATGGCAAAAAGAAGTGCTAAAAAATCAGGTTGTCATGCAACCAACCTGTTTTATGACTGCCATGAATTTTGACCGTGATGGACAGCCCCATTACGGTTGTAATTGGGATATTATTTGTATAACAATTGAGTTACTCACTTAATCCACTGCAGTGATTCATTTAACCATTGGGGCAAGAAAGGTCGTAAAATAAGGCAAAATTCACTTAACAAATGGCTCACCTAGCAACATAAAATTTTGGGCTCCATTGTGGTTGTAAGTCAAGGACTCCCTGTATATGGTAGCTTGCCCACTAGGTGTTTGGGGAATTGTTGTTTTCTCTTGGATAGCTCCTTGGTTAGGCTGCTGCTTTTGGTTTAGTTTTTGTGTATAAACAGACAGCAACTAGCACTCCTTTCTAGCATTTGTGTGGTTGGATAATAAAATACCTGCAAGCAAACAAACCAATTCCAGAGAGTATCAAGGACATTACGGTTCAACCCTGATGCTCTAGTCCCGGGATGGCGAACCTTTGGCACGTGTGCCACAGGTGGCATGCAGAGCCATTTGTGCCGGCACTCCAGCCACAGGTAAACTTACCTCACTGCGCATGCGCGCCTCACAGCTGATTTTCGGCCTGTTTGAGGCCTTTCTTGGCCTCCCAGAGGTTTGAGGAAAGCCTTTGCATGCCGAAAAATAGGACCATTTCGTCACTTCCTGTATTTCCGGGCCTACAAAGGCTGCAGCTTTCCTCAAGCCTCTGGGAGGCCGAAAAAGGCCTCAAACGGGCCAAAAATCAACTGGGAGGCACAGTGCAGGTAAGGGGGTGGCGTGGTGGCGATTACACGCACATGCACAGGGGGCATGGGAGGGCTGTGCATTGCCTTCTGGGTGCTGGCACGCGAGCATGAACACAATTTTTGGCATAGGAGCCCAAAAAGGTTAGCCACTACTGCTCTATTCTATTGGAACCAGACAATCAAGCAGGAAACAACAGCCTAACCAAGGAGTAACCAAGGAGTAAGCAACAGCCCTACTGACACTGACAGGGCGAATTATTGAATGTAAATGAAGAGCACAGCCCATTCCTTCTAGCACTGATGACATTACCTAGTTGGGTAATGAAACATCTGCAAAAAAAACGCACCGAGCTCAGAGAACACCAAGGACCCCACAGGTCTCCTCCACCTCCTTCTCTCCTTCCTCCTCTTTGCAAACCCCACTCCCTTCTATCACCGATGATGTTACCTAGTTGGGTAATGAAACGTCTGCAAGGAAATAACCAACTCTCAGAGCACCAAAGACTTTACAATTCAACTCTTGGTCTACAGACATTCTCTTCTATTGGAATTTTTTGTCTCTCCAGGATGAAAAATAAAGATGTGGGACCAAGATGAAAAAAAAAAAAAACCAAACAGGATCCTATTATCAACACTCAGTAGGCACCGCAACCTTGGCTGGTGGTAGCTGAAATATCCCTTGTCTTTTTCCTAACAGCAGGCAGTTGCCAAGAGTTGCAAGTGTGCACACACCTCTCTTTTTCCTCTGTGACCACGCAGGGATCTGTCAGGTCTGCAGACCAGGGAAGGGCACCCCACAGCCACTTTACCAGGCAGTAACCCAAGGATTCAAGGTCACTTCGACGGGACGGAGCTGTAAAGAACAAGCAGATCCCCATACGAAATATTGGAAGCAGACGTCATGCTCCTTAGGCATAAAAGCTGCCTGGGTGACTTTGGGCCAATGACCAGGAGCTTGGGAGTTGTAGTCCTGCCTTACCCATGACAACTAGCTAAGAGACTTTGGGTCAATGACCTGGAGACTGTGAGTTCCACTCCTCCCCTTAGCCATGAAAGCTGGCTGGGTAATTCGGTCAATCACCAAGAGACTGTTTAATTCTAGTCCTGCTTTGGCCAGGAAAGCTGGCTGGATGACTTTCAGCCAGCCACACTCTCTCTCACCCCAACTGAACTAATAAGCTGGTTGTTACTGTAAGGAAAACAGGAGGAGGAAGATATGCCAGATGTGTTCGCTGCCTTGAGTTCTTTGTAAAAATAATAAAAGGGTGGGATAAATAAATAGATAAATTTCCAAAGTTGATCTGTCTCAGTTATCAAGCAGCGAATGCAGCTTCCCCATGTTTTTGAGGGGGGATCTACGCCATGTTCAGACATCAGCTGAGGACAACCCTTGATGTCAACATAATTTTGTGGGATAGAAGTCAGCCCGGCACTAACGCAGCCCGGTTGGGAATAGACCATGCTCAGTAGTGGGCTGTAGCCCAAAGGTTGTGCACCCCTGCCCAGGTTATTTGAAGGGTCGTTTTTCCCCAGTTACACCTACTTGGCTTCCGTCATTCCTAGTAAAGGAATTGGCGGCTTTGGAAGCCATATTAGCACCAGAAGCTTCCATGCTGCCACATTCCTGTGCCTGGGAAATTGGGAGGTGGGATTTTGTAGAGCAGGGGTCTTCAAACTGGACAGCTTTAAAAGCTGTGGACTTCAACTCCCAGAATCCCTTCTCCAGTCATGTTAGCTCAGGAATTCTGGGAGTTGGAAGCTCCCAAGTCTTCAACTTGCCAAGTTTGAAGATCCTTGTTGTAGAGTGTAGGTAGTTAAGACACAATAGCATTCTTCCTTGCAGTCAAAGTCATGCCTTCCCTGCACCTGGATGAGGAGTGGTTATGGGATGTCTCCAGTTGGGACGGATGGTGATTGGACCAGGGGATGGACTGACGGGTGCAGGGGATGGATTTTGTGATTTTTTTTTTAATTATTGGAGGAAAATCCAGATCTCTCAGATTTGGGTTTTCCCAGATGATATGCCAGTATGTCAACTCTAATAAAAAGGGACTTTGAGAAAATGCCTGCCTCGGAGTCTTGGTGTTGGGGAGTTTGGTCTTTCTGGAATGCCGACAGGAATCTTTTTGAGTTCACGTCAAGAGGGTTTGTCGTGTTTGGGGAGCTGGGTCAGAACAGCAACCCTCCCAAACCGAGAGAGGCGATACGGGCAAATCTAGACCTGCATTTGCAACAGGCTCTCACCAGCTCCCCTGTGGCTGTCCAGGCTGATGAACTCCAAGGTGCCTTCATGAGGAGTCCGACTGCATTCCCTCTGCGGCACGTGTTTCCCTCCAGGGCTGTATCGGAAGGCGAAGCTGAAATCTGCTAAAGTAACCTGGAGGGTAAGAATGAAGAAGAGCTGAAGATCCTCAAAATAAAGCTACAGGGAACAACTTACCGAGCCCCAAATTCCTGTTGCTAAGTGAGACATCCGTTAAACGAGTTTTGTCCCATTTTATGATCTGTAACAACCTGATTAGAACGCCCCGATTTGTTCTCCTGCCCTCTGCTCCTTGGAACGGGGGCCAATTGACCCCGGCCAACTTGCCGTGGCCAGCTTACCAGGGGCAATTCCCCGCAGACAATTCACCACCAGAAAACTCCCACAACTATTTGATTATTTAAAGTAATTTAAAAATTACTTTCATTTTGTCATGCACACTTCATTTAGGAGCCCCAGTGGCGCAGTGGTTAGAGTGCAGTACTGCAGGGGGTACTTCTGCTGACTGCCAGCTGCCTGCAATTTGGCAGTTCAATCTTGACCAGCTCAAGGTTGACTCAGCCTTCCCACCTTCCGGGGTGGGTAAAATGAGGACCCAGATTGTTGGGGGCAAGAGGCTGACTCTGTAAACCGCTTAGAGAGGGCTGTAAAAGCGCTATAAAGCGGTATATAAGTCTAAGTGCTATTGTGATTGCTCTTCCTTTTCTCCCTCCCTCCCTCCCTCCCTCCATAGTGCACAGTGGTTAGAATGCTGACTCTGCCCACTGCCAGAAGTTCGATTCTGACCGACTCAAAGTTGACTCAGCCTTCCATCCTTCTGAGGTGGGTAAAATGAGGACCTGGATTGTTGGGGGCAAGAGGCTGACTCTGTAAACCGCTTAGAGAGGACTGTAAAAGCACTGTGAAGCGGTATATAAGCCTAAGAGCTATTGCTATTTTGTTCCTCCTTTTACATCCTTTCTTTAACTATTCTATTTCACCATTTCTTTGATATTATGTAACGTTGGTCCAGTGGCCAGTTGGCCGTGGCCAGTTGTCCTAGAGACTCTTACTCCTTTCCTTACCACAGTAAGATCAGCCGGATTCACATATATGTTTTCAGCAGCCAGATCCCCGTGAGTATACTCATTTTCATGAAGATATTCCAGGACGTCAAGCTAGAGGCAAAGAGAAAGGCAGATGGGAAGTGTCAGCAATGCAAATTCCCGTTTTTCAGGACTGTTGCTGATCCAACTGCCTCTTGAAAAAGCACCTCTGGGACAGCAGAGTCAGTTTTTAACAATATCTTGAAAACCTCCATTCGCCTCCACACCGCTTTATACTGATTGGAACTAGGCAGGATCCTGTTTGAGATGTTTTCTCAGATTACTGGTCTGCCCTGGACTCAGGTTTCTTTTATCTGATTGTTGCCTTAGTAAAAAGCTCTTCCTGTCCTTTTAAGGCCACCCTTTCTGCCCATCAGTGAAATTCCTTCCCCACCCTGTGCCTTCCTCGCATCCCATACCAGCCTGACTGCAAACTGCAATACAGCTTTCTCCGTCATCTGGTTTTTGTTGTCGTCCAGGATTGACTGAAGAGATCGACCCAATTCGGGAAAGACCAGGAACCTGCCAATCAAAGGAGATTGAAGTTGCATGTGAATCTACTCTTGATCGTCTGCTAGTTAAAAAAACCACCAGGTTTTTAACCACACTAGGCAGGCTAGCGGGGTGGAATGTAGTCTGGATTCCCAGGTGGGAGGGGCTGCCTTCCCAAGGTCAAAGAAGTGGTGGAGCTTAGATAGTTTTGGTGGGAGAAAGAGTCAAGAAGGCTGCTCCCTAGCGATTTTCAGAGAAGGTTTTGTGCTGCAAATAGTTGCTTTAGTTTGGTGAGATTTCGGTCTATAGGTGAAGATCCATGCAGGAAACTGCTCAGAAGTACAGGTAGTCCTTGACTTACAACAGTTCGTTTAGTGACCGAAGTTGCAACAACACTGGTGAAAGTGACTTATGACCGTTTTTCACACTTACAACTGTTACAGCATTCCCATGGTCATGTGATTAAAATTCGGTGTCAACTCATAAAATATTTCTCTGGTCTTTTAGAGTTGCCAATAGAAAGGGGGGGGGGGGAGTAGTGTAGCAGCTGCAAAAATTAAAAATGCATTCCATGGATGTTTCATACTTTCCAGGCGACCAAAGTTTCTGCCTTGCAAAATTCTAACTGGAAAGCATGATTGATGACTCTTGGCTAAGGATGTGTCCCATTGGAGAATGTGAATTACGATACACCCAGGGGGTGGGGGGAAAACCAGGGTCAAGGGTGACAATGAATGATGTGCCTCAGAGTCGGCTACACCCAGGCAGCGCCAGCATGATTTCTCCTAATAAATCTTCTTTGGGCTATGAAAATCAGGCTAGAGACTCATGATTTAAATGGGGGTCACTACCGGAGCCCCGACATTCGGATTCTTCACAACTGGCTCATATTTATGAGCAATGCAGTGTCCTGGGGTCATGTGATCCCTGCCTGTTTTTGTGACCTTCTGATAAGAAAGTCAATGAGGAAGCCAGATTCATTGGACAACCGTATGACTGGCTTAACTGCAACAATTCACTTAACAACTGCGGCAGGGGTGGTAAAATGGGGAAATCTCACTTAGCAACTGTCTTGCTTAGTAACATAAATTTTGGGCTAAATTGTGGTGGTAAGTCAAGGACTCCCTATAATTCTATGTATTGCTCTTGGGGCCTGATAGCTGGTCATTTATTTTCAAGACATCCTCCCAAACTTTGGAGAATCTCTTCCCACCTGGAGCTAACGTGTACAAAATTCAGTCTTCGTTATTAAGTGTGCAAATCAAATAGGTATTGTAACAGGAAGAAAAAGTAAGAGCTGTGGTAGTTAGAATGCAGTACTGCAGGCTAATTCTGCCCACTGCCAGCAGTTAGATCCTAACCGGCTCAAGGTTGACTCAGCCTTCCCTCCTTCCGAGGTGGGTCAAATGAGGACCCAGATTGTTGGGGGCAAAGAGGCTGACTCTGCAAACTGCTTAGAGAGGGCTGTAAAACACTGTGAAGTGGTATATAAGTCTGAGCGCTATTGTTAAAAAACAAAATACAAACTTTTGCTAAATACAAAATGAGAATGTTGAAGATTTAAATCACAGGCCACGCGAGGGATGGTAACAAAAGAACGGCTTCAGTCATGCGCCAAAAAAGAGAGGAAGATCCACAGGGTTGGTGTGAAAAGGGAGAAGTACAGAGATCAAACTCTCTTAATCACTGGGACTCACCTGTAGCTGTTCTCATGGACGCCAAAACCAACACATTCAGGTATCCCCAGGAACGGCATTAAATATTGCTTCTTCCACTTCTCCACTGCAGGGAGAGATCAAACAGGACAGTGCAACCAAAGATAGATGTAGCACAGCTTGGGCTGACAGACCCCCTCAAACTGCCCCACTCTGGAAGCAGAACAAGAAGAGATTCAAGATTCACAGCGGTCCAGGAGACGTTTGAGGATGGTGTCCTGTGTTCATGTCCCTACGACCCACTTATAAACACCCTCCAACGTTCATTTTTACCTGCGACTTTCTTGGCGGCTCGCTGTAGAAAGTTCTGTTCGTTAAACAGCTTTCCCTCTTTAGCATCCTGAGAAAAGAAAGGGAACAGGTAGCGCTGAAGTTCTTGGACAAAGACAGACAGACAGACGTATATACGTATGACAAAGTTGGGATATCTAGATCTATATCCTGCCTTTATGATTATTTTTACAAATAACTCAAAGAGGTGGACTCAACATACCTTCCTCTTTCTATTTTCCCCACAACAACCCTGTGAGGTGGATTGGGATAGGAGAGAAGGACTGGGCCAGTGTCACCCAGCTAGCTTTCATGCCTAAGACAGGACTAGAACTCCCAGCCTCC